ACTGAAGTGTTGTTCAGTCCAGACCAGAGACTGCTTTGGAATATAGACACTATATATTTTTATGTGTCTAAAACATAGATCTGTGAGGATCATTCATGTTACTGCGATACAAATGAGGACATAGCTGAGACAGTGCCCTGCGAAGGGACTGAATAGAGAATTTTCCTTTGTTTAAACTCGGATTTCTGTTCCCTGGAATGTGGCATCCTAAAAAGGAAGAGCAAGATAATCTTTTCTCAGTCATGGCACCCTAGCAACAATAAAGAAGGAAGTTTTCAGAATAGGCAGAATGTCCTAACCATTCATACTCTTCAGGGGAAAAGCGTATGAACGGGTTTCACCCAAATGGGCAATACAACTTGGCACAATAGCAGTAGTATCAGCTCCACTCACAAGTATCTGAGTATCTAATAGCACCTGAAAAGCTGTATTTGTAATCAAAGCAAATTCCTTCCCCCTGCCAATACAGTCTGATCTACTTAATAAGGCTCACGAGAGCCAGGTCTTTCACATTAATAAATTACATAAGGGCTGCATTGCTGCTTGTGCTTTAAAGTTACAAGTTGTTTCCAAGGAAACATATCTGCATACTGAATTTATTCAGCCTTAGAGATACACAGTATTTTCAGACTTAGCCACAGAGAAACGCATGCTATCCTAACCAAGAACCAGCTGCTTACTGGCCTTGGCCATGCTAAAAGTGCTTTATTAAGTGCCAGCTTCAGTGAGACAACACTACTTCATAACAGAAGCAAATTCAGAATTTCCAAAAAACTTATTTCTACCCTTAATATTTTTTATGTCACTAAAAACAAAAAATGTAATTCAAAAAAGATCTTCTAGTTAAATTCCCTTTCTCTGCTCCCTAAACCCCAAATAAAATTTATCACAACTAAAACTGTATAGCAACCCCAATATTTTTAAGCAGTAGCGTGCATATTAGGCAGAACTTGAGCTTTTTAATTTTTATTACTCATTATTCTAACTTCAGGACAGTGTGTGTGGCAAGGTTTAAGTCTCTAGTTTAGCACTCTTTTTCTAGTTACTATACATCCTACAATCACAAGAAGGAACTTACAATCCAAACATACGGCAAGAAGCAACAAATGTCTTCAAACAAATGGTAAGGCAGACACTGCTGAAGAATACTTTCTTGATACGATACCTGGATGCTGGCAGCTAAGCTCTGGCATTTTTTATAAGTCATTAGAGCAAATGAGAATTTTAAGGAGGAATCTGAGTGATGAAGGAAAGGGTGTTTGTAAAGGATTCCTCCCAAGTAGGAAAGCAATGAAATATTATTTTAAAAAGCTACTGAATGGGTATTAAAACTGGAATCATAAGCCAGACTAAAGGAAGAGTCGACCTAACAGAGAGATGATACAATCTTTGGGGCATAGATTAGGAAGAAATTTCAAAGGGCTCCAGCTCTTGGGCTTTCACTTTGTAAATACATTTTTGCAAATACATTTTTGGAACATGTTTATGCCTGTACATGATGAACAGTAAGATTTGTGGTAGTAATGGCAATGAACAAGACAGCAAATTTCTACTTTGTCTTTTATGTGGTACAGAATTAGGTACATTATATCTATGTCAGACAACAGAAAAAAATCACAATGAAAATTCCCACGTGTAAAGAAATAAGGTATATTGCCTACAAGGAGCAGTGTTGAAAATAAAAGCAGAACACTACAGGACCTGGGAGTCGGGCAACCTTGTGAGATCATTACCAACTGCTGTTACACTCCTTCTCCAAGAACTTTGCTATTTGAAACTGTTAGACATACTGGCCAATTTGAACTTGATATCGGAACATATTAAAAAGAAATAGTAAGATTTAATGAAGTCAGTGATCACATTTCTAATGGTTACTAGCCTAGAAAGCACAGTGAATAGACATGGACCACATCTGTCAATGTATTTATGGGAAAAAAATCTCCTTAAAGAACTGAAGAAATATCTTAGAATAATGAAACTGTGTACACAGTCATGGGGATATCATGTGCCAGCACATTTGGAAAATGGCTACATTTCACATGGTGATGAAAAGACCACAGGTTTGAAAGTACCCTACTTAGGGCCTCTTCTGCATAGCTAATAGTGTGGTTGAGATCAAGACCTCTCAGCAAGACAGACAGATAGCCATCACTTTAAATACACATCACAGGACTTCCTAGCAATGTGCAATTTTTTAGCCCACAGGTAAAACCAAAACTGTATCTCATAGATTTCTACCTCGATTAGCTGAGCAGAGTGAAACGCTACTCCAGTAGTAGCATTCTTGTTTGGGTTATTTGGCCAGTAGTTTAGGGAACGTTTCAAGCAAAGTTAATCTTACTGACTTCAGATCATGCAATAGTAATTCATCTGGTGTGCAGTTATGCTGATAAAAAAGGAGCAGCTGGAAAATCCATGAGGTCCTTTTGCCAGGACTAAATTAATAAGCTGTTACCTATAGTACAAATAGCTCAAGCATGCTTTGGTGAATTTCAGACTCACTAAAATGTCTTTCCTGCCAGCTTTTGTTATTGGCTACATTAGAGATGGTGCAGTGACAGTACCTTCAGTCCTTCCAGCCCAAAACAAAAAGCAGGTGAATGGTACTGAAAGGCAGTGAGTCAAGTGATCTCACGGCTGTTTATGGGATACAGTAAACCCTGAGAAGAATAACACTTCAGAGATTTGGTGAAAAACTTGCAGAAGAGAAGAAAATAGCCACATATTCCAGACTGAAACTCACAGAAAGGTTAGAGTTAAGAAGAGTTACTGAGAAGCTGGGGAAAACTGCAAGGCAGTATTTTAGCTCTAGGTTCTACAATCTCTAATTTAAGAACGCAGCTCTGTAACAGTAATGCTCAATAGCAACGTCAAACAACATAGCATTTTATAGGCCTCCTAATTCTACCTTAACGGACTACAAGGACACACAAAAACTCACTCACTCTAAAGTTCTCAAAGTTCAAGTGCAAGGAGTTGTGGATGCGCAGAGTGCTGCAACTGTTGAGAGCTGACAGAGGTCTGCTAAGGAAGAAAAAAAGTCATTGCAGTAAGTTCACTGCAGAAGCAAGGCTATATTTCTGTGCGTGGTAAAACAAACACATTATCAGATCTGAATCTGTCTTTCCCCATTAGCACCATCAAGTGGCCGTCAGTGTGACAGTACTGCAACGAACTGGCCATGGCCACACAGGTTTCGGGTACTTGTGAGTGACAAAAATGAGGGGCTAAGGCAGCACTCTAGCAATGGGACTGCATCTTAGCCATATGCGCAGCACTGCATGTACCCATACACTGTCTAACCTTGACTGTAGGAACTAAGTGGAGAGGGCAAAAAAGAAATATCAATGATGTCACTGCAAAAACCACTGTTTTGACTTAAATTGCAAATATGCAAGATGTGTCTAGCAAAATATTTGGTTTAACTGTGAAAGCGTTCACAAGGATTGAAGGATTGATGGTACTGTATTCAGATAATGTAAGTACAAGTTTTGGCATTTTTAACATTAATTTTCACTTTATAGCTGCTTCATTACTATTGCAATTGTTTGTAACTCTGGACAGAGGACAATAAAAACACTAAACAAGCATAAGCTTGTTTATTTGAGAAGCAGGACTGATTTCCACACTTGCTTTCTTACTCACATCCCTTTACTGTCCCCTTACAGGAACAGCCTCTTCTGTGGCCTTGCAGTGAACCAGACCTGACAAATGATCTGGTTGAATATAGCCAGATTTTGTGGGTTATTTGTCAGATTAGTTTTCAGGCAGTTCCAGTTCCCTACACAGCTACAGAAATGTTTGTCCCAGCACAGAGAAAAAGGCAGTGTGGGAGTAGAAGCAAATAGCTGAAGAAGGTGAGTAAGGAAATTGTCTACACCGAACTACTGCTTCAGATTGTCAGATGAAACTCCAAGAGACCATTTAGGCTTCAAGTATGTATTACAGCTCCTGTCTTCCTAGTGAAATAACTGCAACCATAGCAAAATCTAAACAGGAGGGAAGAGGATAAGTACGAGGAGACAAAAACCCTTTGAAGGACTAGACATTCATTTGTTCTGTCCTTAAACTACCAGCAGGAGAATCTTAATGTATTATTGGCACTAATAGTGAAATAGTAACAAAGAAAAAAATTAATTAACTATTTAAAAGTAATCTATAAAGGCTTGGAGATTGTGCAATATATGTCATCTTCGCCAATATACGAAGAATTGTAGTGAGGGCTTTCAGAACCTGAAATCTCTTTCCAGGAGGGATTTTTTTTACACCATTTACTGCTTTTCTGCCTAATAAATCCCCTTTACCCATTACCTCTTGGGTCTTTTGCTTTGTTTTCAGGATCCAGAAAACTGAATCTGGCCTCAACGATTGCTAGAGGACATGCTGGACGTCTTAGCATGTTCTGTGTGTGGAGAGATTGATCACATTTTAACTATACATGAAAGGTTGTTAAACGCTAATAAAAACGTTCAGTTTTCCAAAGTCCATCATTACAGTTAGATACAGCTGACAATTCTTCTTCCCCCAAAAAGATCCTTTTCTGCCCTACAAACAATTCAGTTAAAATAAGTAGCTTTCAGTCTGGCAGTAATTTGCTGCATCTTTGAAAGCTTCATTTCCTTGGTTCTTCCGTTATCAGAGGTTTTGTCTGCTCACACTGTACACACATTATCAGTGGCTACAGCTGATTGAGCTCAGAGCACGTTTTATAAAGACAGGCATGCTGAGCACCACTTCAGAAACACAATTGTAACTGATTTTCAAACTCTTTCGCATGCCGATTCAGTTGGGCATCATTTCTATTTGTGGAGTGGAGAAAGCAGCAATTTGCTGCCAGTTACAACTGGACATGAAATTGGTTCACCACCGATCCAAAGGCAGTCATTCACATGCACCGCAGTAATGGGTAATTTTGGTAATGTTACATTAGCCAAGGCAGACAAAAAAAAGAAAAAAAAACACAAAACAAAGGGAAGAAACAGAAATGCACATTGGCACTTACCCAAGCTCTTGCTTTATGTCCCTCATTTTATGCCTGCCATTAATTTTATTGAAAAGCCCCTAGGTCCCAAATATTCAGAGTCTTTTCAGGGGTTGTTTTTTCCCTCAGCTACTTCCATTTTGAGACCTCAGCGAACAGCAGATTTTAAAGACTGCCAGAGTGCTAGCAACAGGTGGACATTTTTATATCATAAAAATAAAGACTGAAGCACTTGCATCCCCTGCTGGCAGTCTGTTTTATTTTTTTTTGTAAAAAAACATAAAACTGGTCTAAATTCTCTGTAATAAAAATTGGACCTTTATTTTTAACCATCTCTGTATTGATTACACAAATTGTTGCAAATGATAAAGAGAAAGAAATATATTTTAAAATATTTTAAAACTATTTTGTCTCTTTTTTTGTCAGAGTAGCTGGTTACAAAGACTTGCAAAACCCATGTGATTTTTAGACATTCCAATTATGAAGCTATGAGAATTATTTGGAAAGGCAGACTTAGAAGGAGCAGGCTAGTCAATTGGGTTTACACTGCAAAAATTCCCACATTACTTCAGAAATTCTCTCTCTTACTGAAAACATTACACTCTGCATTAGCAGGAAAGCAGCCTTCAGCCAAACGACCCAAGAGATTTATTGTTTTCCAAAGCCAGAAGGGACAACCATCACCTACTCTGTTCTCTTTATATAGTATAAATCAATGGCATTTTCCAAGGAAGCTCTGGAATTTCTTCCTCATGTCCTATGTAAGTGTTCAGAAGCTTAACTCTGTACCCATAGTGAAAATTAGCAGCATAAACTACTTGAAGTGCAAGAACAAAATTGGACATCTCTGCCAGAGATGTCAGATGCTGACCTTCACTCTGACCATTTAGCCTGAGTGTAACTACACAGAAACAAATCTGATTTACTAAGTGTCTGTGGTAGTTGAACGAGACTTCACACATGTATTCAAAAAAACTGGCAGAGCATGCCGTACAGACTAACACATGTAGTCACAGCATAATGGAATGTTTTCTTGTCAACACATACAACAGGCTTCTGTAGTGCACAGGAACTTCAGGCTGTGCTTTCTCTGGGATAAACTAGGATATAAATATTAGGAATAAAAAACTAGGATATAAGATTACTAAACTGCTTAGGAGAGGACTTTGACAAGGCAGTGTCTGGTGGCCCAGGATGAAATGTCTCCCTGTGAAACTTGGCATTCTGCAGATCGTGCAACCAACAGCCCATCTTCTAGAGTGGCACAGCTTGTCCTCTCTGCAAGTAAATGCAGAGCTATGAAGCTCCTACCTCTCCAGTGCCCATCCCAGCCCCCATGTACCTCTCAGAAGCAACGTGTACCAAGTCTTCACACTTTTGACAGCTCAGTGTGAGCAGGAAGGTTGCAAAGCAAAAACTAGTTCTCTAGTTCTTGTGAACAGTAGTGGTATCTAGCCTCTGACCTCTCCAAACAAACAAAATAGCTGAGGTAGATCAGGAACACAGAGTTTTCAGCTACACGAAGGTTATCTATTGGTAATCTTGGGCTGCCTCGTCCCTCTTAGTCTGCAGGTACTGTCTTAAACTTAAGCTTTCTAGTGCAGCAACTGTCTTAATCCATATTTAAGAGATCTAGATCCATGATTTGGGCTCCTCAGGCACTGCTGTTAGCAGAAAATAATTTTTTTTAAAGCAGCATATGCCAACTAAGCAGAATCATTAGAATGTCCTATGACTACTTTAGATAGCATGCAATGTCATACTTAAGGTAAGGCATCTGACATTAAGATAGGAAGTCACTGGAACCTCTTATTTATTGTGTATTGTGTGCATTATAATTTCAGATTATCCAGTTATTACTGATATTTTAAGAAATGCTCTATTTTTTCCTCAGTAGATCAAAGGATAAATGGATTTTTAAATTATGTGCATTTTGATATTATGTGACAAGTACACTCTTCTCCTTCCTCATGTTGCACATAAAACTATGCTGCAAATTAACAGGAGAATTTGAACATTCCTACTGAAACAGGAAGCTGAGTAACATTCAGACTATTCAAGTCCATGTTGCTGTGCCATCTGGTGGCTACTCGTTTGTAATGCAGATGCAAGCAAAAAAAAGCACCAAAACAGAAACGTCTTTCTTTTCAGGCCTTTTCTCACAATTTTCCTCTATAAAACTTAATTTTCTATTTTTAAAAAAAATCTTTATTTTGTCTGTGTCTTCAGGCAAGAAAGAATTAATGAGAATGTTTCACATAAATATAAAAGTCGGTGCTATTTTTGCCACTACAGGCTCTTTGGGACATCAGGAGGAGACTGTGGGTGGCCTATGACCTTCTGGAAAGCCAGCCAAAGTCATTACATTTGAAATCATGATCCCTTAGGATGTCTATATTTTGTTTACTGTAATGGCATGTTGTGAAGCACAATACATACACCTGTAACAAACTGAATTAACAGAAAGAGGTAAATTTGAGGCATAAAGAAGTGACCCCACCTCCCCCTTACTATTTTAGGTCTCTGTCTTTACATAGAGCTATGTAACTAATACAGGGGTTTAAATTGTAATTTTTACCTAATGGCTGTTTTAATGCAGAAATTTACCTCAATATCCTCACTGCCTCTCCTCCCCATCAGATGCCTATGGTTAGCAGAGACACAGTAAGGACACTGAAGTCTATAACTCAGAAATGGAGCCCAGGTACGTTTTTATTTCAACTGTATGCAGAAAAAAAATAACTAACCTTCTCCTTCTCTTCTGCACTGAGCAGAATTACTCCAGAAATGCCATGATTTAAAGACGATACCTAGTTTCTCTACTGGGTTACATTAATATTACATCTTTACTAACAATAAACCTTGCCTGTGGACCTCCATTATCCTTTCTGTGCACTGGAAATCACCAGAAAAAATGATTAATGGCTTGCACCCAGACGGGTGCAGAGGCTGATTAAGGTCTTTACTTTGAGTGGAAATGATTTCAGGTTTTGTTTTGTTTTTTCATTAATATTGTTGCAGAGTCTATGACTGCAAGAATGCTGGGGATATTCACAGAACATCATTGGCACTTCATAGTCTAAAAAGTGAGAGAAGCAGGAAGACTATGATTATTCAGATAGAAAATACTGAAATTCAAGATTTTCCAATCTGGGTTTTCTTCAGAAATATCAACAACTTAAAACCACTAGCGAATACCTCAGAAGTAAAGACAAACTGACACAGGAGGAAACCTGCACCACTCCAATATGATATAATCTAGAATGTTTTCTCCTTCAAATGGATTGACTTACCCATTATCCAACCCATTCTGCCCAATTTTCTTTCCTATGTCACCTACCATCACACCTGGCATTGGTAGGAGAGTTTTTGTATCTCGAATCTGCATAGAAGTGGGATGAAACATTATTTCAGTTGGAGAACAATGAAAGTTATTGGTTGAACTTTTCAAATGGTGAAAATATTCCCAACTTGTATTCCATTATAAATGCTAAAAAAAGCTCTTTATCTTTTTCAAGCACGTAATTCTGGATATAACTTGTACATACGTATCCTCTCATTCAGGACACAGATCCCTTAATGAAATTACTTTGGCAATATGACACCAATTTTATCACTGGTTTAAGTATGCCTTAACACTGCTGACTGCTCTCATCAGACTAGCATTGAAAGCTTCTTCAGGTGTGCAGAGATACAGCATAAATCAATAGAACTTTTATGTAACAATCCCCAATTTTGTACTAAATTCTATTCAGTCTGCAACTAGTTCATTTTACCAAGTACAACTTCTGTACTGAATTGCCATATTTTCTGATGCCTTTAATCTTACAAAATGATCTCTGTGGTAGAAGCTTACAGATTTCATGCAGATGCATAAATCACCTTAAGCCTCATCCAAGATTTTCAGGACTTCACAGCATAGGTTAGTTCTAACTATATAGGCAGTGTAATAATCTGCAGGCTTTTTGGCACTTCTGTATTTTTCAGCTTTTTTTTGCAGAAAACTGACAGTATAAAGCTGGATGTACAGTTATCACAAAATCAGTGAACATTTAAAAACAGCCCACTTGCTACGATTGCAATAAATGTTGACGGCATTAATTAAAGAATCTGCTGGTCAGATATAAATAACAGCACAACAGAAAGTCTTTAATTTGAACCCACTCCCCTCATAAAGAAAAAAAGATTAGCGATATTTCTACCCTACCTGTACAATAAAGGAATTTAATCCTTGGCACTGTCCATCAGGAGTATAGAGCTGGGCATATACAACTGCATGAGTGGCATGTTTTCCCATATTACCAACCCAGAACTTTGCAGCTTCAAAGTCAGGAGTATGGATGATAAATTCCTGTAGTTGGAGAAGAAAGGGGGAAATCATGTAACTCATAAAAATCCACACAGAGCTATTTTTTTTTTCATGACATGGTAATGTTTTGAAAACATCCATTAACTGCTAGAGTTCCATTCTGTACTCCACTCCAGCAGCTGAGATCTCTCGCATTGTGTTCAACTTTGGAGACAATACACGTAGCTAGGAAAAATTTAGAGCTGAAGAAGTTCATTACTTCATTGTAAAGCATGAAATTCACCCTTTTAATTGCTCATTTAAGCACCTGAAAAAAGTAAGGCAAAGCGATGGACTCAGAAACATTTCCTAGATCTTAGGTTAAGCTGAGCTGTGAGTCCACGTGAGGGACTGTGAGGGCTGTTTCAGCTGAGGAACCTATGCAGGGACCACCTCTTCCTTACACAGTTTTGTATGGAAAGGAAGCCTGGTTGACAGCATGAAAGGCAGCCTGCTTCCCAGTCTGGACAACTGGGAGAATGTGAATAGTGGGAATTCTGAATATGTGTATCCTGAAATTTAGACATAGCTTCAGCATTCAGATTTATACATTCCAAATAGTGTGTTTTATGGATGTAAAATAAATCTGAACTCAGAGCTTGATGATCTTAACAAAGATTTAGTAATTTCAGTCACTTTTAATGCAGTGCACTCAACACCAGCCTAAAAGTCAAGTTATTTAAACGGAATGTTTCATGCTGCCAATCTCACAAGTTTTAGATTGTTTGCTTTTTTGTTTTTTTTGAAAGGGATCTGATTGTCCATGTTGCATAAATGCTCACTGAATAACTTGAATGTAAAAAAATTATTCTCATTTCTCATTCTTTTGAAGTCACTTCATGATGTAACTTTGTTTATTGACAGTAAGAGCACCCAGTTCTGTATATTACAGTGCAAAGAAATGCCATGGTCTTTCAGGGAGATGATGAACCTACCTTCTTGTGACATTAAATAATACATCTTAAATTCAACTTGGCATAAACCAAACAGATGACAAAGAGAGAGAAAGTTCTATCAGCCTCCTCTCTTAACTTCTATTTTCTTCACCCTTAATGTAAAAGTATGACGAGTTGTATTCACTTACCAAAAAAACGTTAGAACAATGAATTTATTTCTGCAATGGGCTTAATTAAAAAAAAGTAAGCACTATGCTATTGTAAAAAGCTGTTTATTGTTTTCTTAATTGCATGTCTGTGATAGTCTTGTTATCCTTTTTTTGTGTTTCTTTTTCTCATTCTCAGGAAATAACCCTATTCCTTGTATCTCACATTTAAATGCAAAAGACAATTTAATCTGCACATCCCATCATCCCTTGAGATACACAACAAAGAAGGATGCTATCCTTATTTTATATTACAACCAGAAGCTAAAATAAATACCTGTACAAGAAAACAGAAATTGCTGGGCTTATTGTAAATATTTATAACAACAAATATATTTGACTTTTTTTTTTTACATTTGTTCAACTTGATCCTTTCTTGTTAATCAAAGAAATGCCTGAATCACTATGCCCTGGTAGTAAATAACAGAGTTTAACAGTGTCAAACACGATTCCTGTGCATTGAGGACTAACCTGAGTGCTACGATCAAACGTGGCAGTAGTCCGTATGCCTTTAGTATTAGTTCCATGGCTGAGTTCAGTCAGAGCAAAACATCCAAAAACCTAAATAAGGAGACATAAGGCACAGGTCAATACCACATTATTACAGCAATTAGAACTGTTAGACTTTCAAATGATTGCAAATTCAGCTGTTGGAAGGTAACTTGCAATTGCAAGAAACTAATCATGTGCAACTCTATGGCTAGGACATCATGCCTGAAGGGTAACAGGCATTTTTTTCCTTTGCTGACTCATTCAGGCAGGTACAGATTATTACATTCGCTTATTAAGTTTTCAGCTGTCTGGGTTGCAAGAACTGTTGAGTGGTGAAAATCAGCAAGTTTGCTTGCATTACAAGAAGTTCTGGAAACTCCAAAGAGTAGGAGAAAAACAGAATGAAGCTGTTTATTTTTAAATATGTGGATAGCCTACATTATTGAAGGGGATAAATTTTTATCAGATCAATGTATGCACACACTTGATTCTCAGCAGCATTTGGGAACACTGCCTGCTTCAGGCCACACTGAAATGTGTGTACTGTAATCCCTATATCCAAGGTTAGTTTGGCCTATAGTACATACTTTTCAGTAACAAACCTTTGAAAAGCAAGTGAGATTAAAAAAAACAAACCTGAAACTTCAGGCAAAATTATTCTGACAAATACATATCCTCGGGCTTTTGCCTAGACTGATAGTCATTAAAAGACTTCATCCTGATCTTTTAACATGGAGTATCAAATCAGAACTATGTAGCAGTATATTGTCTATGAGCAGAGAGATAAACACAGAATTTCAGAAAATTAAATAAGCAAGGAAGGTGAATGGTTGGCAAAAACAAACCAAGATAAGAAGTGATAAAGAATACGAAAAGAAGCCTGAAGCTCAGTTTGGGTGTGCTCAGCACATATATCTTGCAAAATCAAAGAGGGTTGTCCAGACAGTGAACGCTGACCATACGGTCAAATGGCATCAGCAGGAGAAGCTGTTTAGGATTGGCTCTTTCTATTGAGAAATGCTGCATTTATTCTGCGGGGCGCTTGGTCCTGAGTCTCCACTGGACTCGATGTGGTGTTTCTGTGGCAGTAAGACATTATTATTGTCCAATTTATAGCATCAGAATGGAATTTTTATAGAATTATGGCAAAGGTTTATGTTGCACGGTGCATGATGTGGGAGGTAGGAGTGTCTGATCATGCAAAACTTGCTAAGATACCCTTAAATGACAGTGGACAGAGATAAAACTAGTGTAGTGTCATCTATATTTCCTTTTGGGAGAAGTCCCCAAACTTCATCTGCATATTAACTTGGACAGTCTAAAACAGATCCAGGAAGTGGCATTATAGTCAGTGAGGACAGTCAACACTCAGTCCTTGAATCTGCTCCTTGGTCTTTCTTTTGCTATTCAGAAGTACCTAGGTATGTAAAGAGATCAGAATTAACACAAAGATGTAGATAACACCACTGTTCCAATGGTGCCCAGTTCTCAGAAATTATTAAAAAAAAATTACCTCCATGCTATAAACTTTTTTCACAAAGTCTGCAAACCTCTTAGAAGCACTCAAAATTGTACCTGCAAATACCTGTAAAAACAAAGAACTGTGAATGAAATCAGTGACCTTGTAATAGGAATAACAAATTGCAAATGCATAATAATTTGTAATAGTGATGTTCGTTAAAGAAACCAGGGAAATCAGGCTACACAGTAAACTACTACTTAAACTGTAGCTGGAGGTAGTCAGGATGTGATGTTGTCAAGCCCCTTTACAGAGGACTGAAATGTTCACACCTCTAAACTGTTCAGCCCTTCATTGCAAACTCTTAAAAATGCTTAACGAGCTCACTTTACACTTGTCCTTACTGGTATCCCCTTGAGTAAAGTAAAACTTCAAGACTACTGCAACTTGTTTTATTGCAAATGGATGGGGAACTGAAGGCAGTTGCTTCAAGATCAGACAGGAACACTGTTTTTAAAGCTACCTTCAGTTTTTCTAGGTGGATATTCACATAACAAAACTCAGATTCCCAGATGCTCCCCTGCCACGTGAATAGTAATAATTAATTTACTCAACTAGTGTTATTTGACCAGCTATGTCAAGTATTATCTCTGAGAGGTTTATCTAGGGAGCAACAGATGAACAGAGTCTCAGCCACTTATGTCAGTGGGAAACTTTACGCTGGTTTCTGAGGATTAATGACAAAGATCTGCTAACTTCATCCCACAGCTCTTTGATTCTTTTTAACAGCTAAAACAAATTTTATAGTTGAAAACAAAGGCCTGGGAAAAGACATCTCTTTAATAAAATAGGCAGAAAGCAACAGAATTATGGTATTACAAGACATTTAAATAAAAACATACACCACTATATCTTTTGAACCATACTTACACCGCAATGTAAGAAATACTGGAGACATGGAGACCAATCATACATTCCTATACAGATGACCATATTAAATATCTTTAATGGGTTCTCTATGATCTCTTGCTGAGTAAGAAAATCATACTCAAAGAGCCTTTTACAGCGCAGGAATGTCAGCTCCTGATATTTCTCACGGCACAAATCTTCTCCAGGATGATGGGCAAAGAGGGGATCACTTTCCAGAGCAGAGAAGATTCTGTTCTTGAGAGGGGAAAAAACTGACATAAGAATGTTAAAAGTATTAACAAAACAAGTTAATGTTCTTCTAGGATAGTAATAGGCCTCAAACTACAATTGTCTGATAGACGATGTAAGTTTATAAAGCCAAAACTGCAGAGAATTAAAAAACGTATGTAAACAGTCTGTCATTACATTTACAGCTCATGTAGCTAAATATTATGAAAGCTCCTTTGTCATGAAGTTGGAAGGGACTGATTCACTCTGAATATAAGAGAACAGTATGGTAAAACCTACTTGATATTTAGAGTAGCTTCATTATTACACTACATGAAGCTGCTGGCAGGATCTAAAGGGCAATGGTCTTCAGAGAGTAAAGCTCCTGAAAGTAAAACTCCAGGAGTTACATTCAGTTAGAAATATGCCATTAAACTACCATTACTGCTCTGTTCCTAGGTGAAAGCAGAAATGTACTCTAACAGAATGATCATATACAGCCATTCAGTGTGGGGATCTGCATCTTTTAATGTTTTAATCTGGATTTTTTTGGTAGATGATATACTGTGGCATTTTTTTACCGCAGATCTCTGTGTCTTCAAGATATTCACATCTTCTTAATTGTCTTTCATGTAATTTAGGGGGGGGAAAAAGTGCAGTGCCTTAGGCAAAACCTTTTAAAAAGGTTTTTGAAGTCCCTTCCCTCTCTCTGAAGAGAATGACACAGTAAGAAGGAAGAAAAACAGATTTCCTGTGCTTTTCTTTCAAAGGTGGGGTCCTTCCCCCTCTCTGTTTAAACAACACTATTTGCCCATTCAGCTTTGAAACTCCTTGTGACACAGAGCACTGGTGCTCTTTCTGTGCTCTTAATTATATTGGTCAGATGCAGAAAAAGGCATTTTTTATTTCTCTGATTCACATTCTAAGATTTTAATAACTATGGTGAACATTCAAGATTAGCTTAAATCCATGTAAATCTATACCATCTTCAAAAAAGTCAGTTCTGTCTCCTCCTACATCTCCAAGTCACGCAGCCCCATCTCTTGTCCTGAAATTAATCTTTTTTTTGGTAGGGTTAGCTTTCAGCGAGGTAGGCATGCTAATCTGTCCAATCCCAATGCCACATAAACATTAATGCAAGCACAGAAGATTGTAGGAAATTTTGTCAAGTCCAATGAAGACAGAAATGCTATGTTTAACAGTGGCATGAACTTAGCTCAGCTTAAGTGCATTGTAAAACCATTTGATGTATGATTTAATGCAAACAGTAAAGAAATATGGTAGAATATAGTTCTTTCTCAGTTTGAAATGAACACTGGAGTTCTGTAATGTAGCACCTGCTGGTCTGCTCTGTACTGACGATCAGTAATGAAATAAGCCTTATGAGACAGCAAGGTAGATTGCTTAAAAGTTCAGTTCTGTTTTGAAAACTGGATGTGCAAAACCAATTTCTTTATACTCTGTACCTACAAAATATTATCAAAGTTAATACTGTCCCCTTGAAAGTCACATATTTGCTTCTACTGATATCTCCAAAATTAAAACATACCTACGATTCTTGCAAAGCTTACCTTAAGCTGGATGATATCTTCCCCATCTAGAAACACCGCCATCTCCTTCCAGTTGAAGGAAGCTTTCTTACGATATTTGCAAAGCGGTCCTTTGGGGAGATCTGGTAGCAAAGTATCCCACAAACTTTGGTTGCCAGTGGCTTCTTTCAAATTCAGTGTGGACACCATTGTTAACTAAACTGCACCAAACAAGAAAAGATATATCATGAACTGAAGCACCACAAATGTCTGTTTTTTAATAATAACAAGAAATCAAAAAGGCGGTTAATTAAATCCATAGACTTGCTCAAATATATCAGTACAGCAGTGCAGAGACAACTAAAAGCTTGCCCTTCAATTTTTCTAATTCAATTGGCTTGGTACAAGTGAAAGAAAAAAAATGCTTATGTTCAAATGTAAATGAACTGCACGGTCTTTGTTATTAAAGTATGAGCTAAACCTTTTAAAATAAGCAAAATATGAAAGAGGGACACCACTGATTAATATTGCATAGTAAGAAAAGTGGGGTGAGATAAAAGATCCAGGAAAGAAAACAGTGTGTTTTACATAACATAAATAATTGTCACTTTGCTTCTAACTTAAAATGTAAAATAAAAAAAATATAAAAGCACCACAAACATGCATACAAAGTGTTGTTCAAATGCAGGAGATTCCTGTATTATCTCCACATTACTAGTTAACATTTAAACAGCTTTAAACTAAGTGGCATGTTGGTTATATATTGATTGTTTTTATATAACATGAGACAGAAGAGGTCAGGGAAACGGTAGAAACTCTGCCCTTATCTTTCACTGCTTTAATGTATGAAAGAGTAAGCAGGTCATAAAACCTTTATTTCATGTACACCAATTGCAAGAAACAAATTTCTGCAAAATTCTGCGTATTTGCATCTCCTTTGGCTGACTTAATCTTGTCCAGAAGGGGTAAGCTCCCACATATCCCCCTGGCCATGAAAGCACTCGGCTACCTGGGTACATCTGACCAGGCGATTACAAGTACAGCACAGAAACAAATAGATGGCTTTACACAGGGGAAACACAAACTCCTTCAGCCCTGTGTACTATTCCATTGCTTTAATGTGGTGAACATTTAGAATTGTGAAACTGGAAACGTGGACATGCTGTCCACGGCAAATGGGACAAGCAGAGGCCCTGTACGCAACGGGTCCCTAAAAGGTAGAGATTAAACCTGCATAAATGAGGTAAAACTATCACAGTAGTGGCTTCTACAGAACACAAAAACTACAGGGCTGTTCTTCTACATGGATGATGCAGTCCTGGAAAGCCGTATGCACGTAGGTATGCACTCCTCTTAAGTGTCAAACTGCCATACTCAAGAATAAATTTTAAATAATACAAAGTATCAACTTTGCAACCACACTTCATTTTTCCTTCTTTTTTCCCTAAAGTTTAATTTTTCATTTCTCTTACTTGGTGGCTTATAATATTTTTTAGTCAGTCTTCCCACAAACCTTTTTCTCTGAATACACCTTTTTCTGCGCTGAGTTGGCCTCAGACTCTTGTATATGTGACCAAAAGCAGTAAGCCTCCCCTGAAAAGTCTGCTGGCATTTTGTTGTGCATATATATGGGTCATGCAAGTGCACTGCAAAATTTCACAGAAGAAGCATTTCATTACCAGCCGGTACAACCGAACTGGTTTTGGACAGAAGGGGAATCTCGCTTTGTGTCATAACATGGCCCGAAGGGTGAAGACTCAGACCACTGCAGATTCCAGAAGCAGATGTTGGAGTGCCCTCTGCTGCTCCCTGCTCATACCACACCCAGCAATTTCTGCCACTTAATGCAGACTGCAGAGATCCAAGTTAGGCGTGTGAGAAGCACAAATGATCAGAATGACCACATTTTAATAAATTGAGAGGTAGAATATCTGGGCCCAGGGCTGGCCAAGGGCTCAGCACAGAGTATGAACATAATAAACTACAGAAACTGTAGTTTAGCATTCTGCTTTTTCTGTAACTTTTTTTCCTTATCATATTGATAGATCTCCTTACTACATTTCTTTCTTTTCTACCTAATCGCCTTATGGAGGTAATTCTCTAGCTCTGCACGGTATGGACATAGTAGAAGAGGACTGCAGGACAGTAGTTCTGCATCCGACTTCCAATTCAATTCCAGGAAGATGCAGTTCCAGTATTGACCAACAGGTGTGGAAAGGAAAAAAGAGGGGGAAAAAGGGCATTGAGAGGGCACATTTCAACCCCGAGCCAAATAAACAGATACTACTATTCTAAATGAAAAACAGGTAAATCAGGCAGAAGTTCAAGGCTTCTGGCTCAGAACAGAGAAAATTTACATAAAAACACTGCAGTTATTGCATCTAACGTTATTTACACTGCTAATCAATGAGGTTGCTCAAATGAGAAAACTGAAGTGTTCAGAAAAAAAAGGGCTGGTACTTCAAAAGGAGTTACAGTTCCTGTCTCTGCCTTCACACAATGTTTTAATATAATTCGGTTCCAAGCAAACAATTTAAAAAATAATTAAGAAACCAAACCAGGCAATTACAGTGGGAAGTAACAAAGGACTGCCCTAAAGAATAACCTCAGTGTTCATTTCAGCCTTGTGCTGATGTTTGGAAATCTGTGTGTGGATGTGGCAGTAAAAAGCAACTCATGTTATTTTCACCTTGCTGAGAACTGCTGTGGTTTCACTGAGAAATCCAGAGTTCAAAACCTTTTTATGAGGAAGTTGTTCCTGCTACGAATTCAAATTCATGACTGGAATACAACCACGGCACACAAATCACAAGAGGTTATTTCAGTTTTCTGTGAATTATCTTGCATAATGATCACATAACTCGGACACTTATCAGCTGTCAATAATAACGAAGCAGTACCCTTATCCTGACAGAAAACACCACTACTCGCAAATGCAGAACTGCTCGAAAATAAAATAAAAAGCTACTGATGGCAGCTGCCCAGAGAAAGACACCACCAGCGAGGTTAAAGGCAGGGCAGTAAACCACTTCTTTAAAAACACTTTGAGATCTCATTGCACAACTGCTATTTGAGCTGCCTAAACTCAGAGTGAGGCCTCGCTTCTGCTCAGAGGTAGACTATGTAATATACAGGGTTTTACCACCAGAAATGTACCGAGATTTTTTTCTTGAAGAGTCGGGCAGCCGGGGCCTGTCAACGCTCCTAGTTTTAAGTCCGCCAGCGTTTCCACGCTGAGG